AATCGGCAACCTTCTCACGGAGAGGCAACAGCTATACCAACTGAGCCACCGTGCCACCAAAAGTTATAGTCCTTTCACCTCCTCTTCTTCTTTCCGTTGCTCTCTTCAGGGGTCACCACAGCAAACTAACTCGCACAAATTGTTTTTACGCTGGATGCCCTTCCTGATGCAACCCCAACACTGAGCTGCCACAGCCCTCTGTGTGGAGCAGAGAGCTGATATCTAGGGCACCCGATGAAGCAGATGGTGGAAGCTCCTCGGATGAGGAGCGAAACGTCTTCTAACGCTTTTTGAATTCAGATGGTGGAAGCTCCTCGGATGAGGAGCGAAACGTCTTCTGTTACAAATAAAGTCCAGATGTTTTTGTATTGAACACTTTTTGAATTCAGATGGTGGAAGTTAACTGCCTTGCTCAAGGGTCCAGAGTGGGGCAAATGAGGGTGGAGGCAGGTGTGGGTGTTTCACCTTTCCCACCCACATTCTGATGTTGTTAATCCGGGGATTTGAACCGGCGACCTTTCGATACTTACAGTACAGGGAAAAGTTGTCATGAGGATGCTGTTTAATGGTGAAACGATAGGTGGCGGTAGTGCAGCGTGGCTCTGAGTCGCAGCCTTGAGTCGTCTCGCAGATAGAAGAAGAAGAAGAAGACCGAGCTCCCTCCCAAAGAAGTGCTGCAGCGGCGCGTGGTCTGTCCCGTGGCGCAGCGAAGCTTTAGCAAGCAGCGGTTATTAAGCTCCTGTCAAAAAAAGAAACACATTGTTTCCTTTGTTTAGTTTTATATAACAGCGCACAATGGCCACCGGTAAGTCGAAGTATTTCAGTGTCTCTTTCATTGCACAGTAGATGGTACACCGCAGTTCGTTCTTGTGCGTACCTCGAGGCCAGGAGTGGCGCCGTCTATGTCATGGACTGAACATAATCTTTTGTTAATTTTGGGCGGTCAATAGTTAATTTACCGAAACAAATTTTTTATCATTGTAATTTGTTTCATATATTGTAGTGTTTTGGCAATTTATGGGGGACCTTAACTGCAAGGGGCTTGCGAAAATTACAGTTAAGCCGTCGGTCGACATTGTTTTTGGTAACGAAACTTGAATCTATGCGTATTTTGTTAACACTGAAACTTAAGATTTCCTCAACAAAGGAGATGTATTTGCGTTATGACGAGTCATGTGCTAAAGCATGTTAAACCTTCGCTAATAATGTATATCAAGCTTTATAGTCGAGCTGATTTTAGAAAGAACGGCGATACATTTTCCAGCATGTAGTCTACACCGGCGCTGAATCGAGCGCCATTTTGTTGTGGTCTTTCTGGCGGTTAGCCTGATTTTTCGTTTTCTGGATCTGACTTACTACTATCAATCTACTTTTATAATTTTCTTTTCGCACCGAGTCACCCGCATCTTAAAAAAACACAGTACAGTATGTTATTTTTGTCATAGCAGCTTTGTGAGATAAAATTAAACCCCTCTTTAATTTCTGTTTCAGATTCGGGCTACGGTGGCTCACAAGGGTAAATTACTCACAAACGCAACCCTTTTAATCAGTACACTCACCCACACGAACATGATGTACACATGAATATTACAACATATTTTTACAACGTGACTTGAATTTATATGTTCTAAAATAAATTATACTTAGATTTTACTCTAGACTTGAGACTACTTTTTTTAATGAAGTGTGTTTTTGGTTTATATTTCTGGTTAAAATTTCTCTTTGCACTTAAAGTCTAAAATTATTTTTGTGTTTGTAGCTATGGATCTTATGGAGGAGGAGGAGGAGGACAGCAGGGTGGACAGGTGAGACATTTTCCAAAATATCCTGAAGCCTCTTTAATTAAACTGTTTTACAACAGCATTTATTATTATAATCTAATCCATGTGTATATTTTTTATAGGGTTATGGACAAGGAAATACTGGTGGTGGCTCTTATGGGGGACAGAATTATAGTGGTTATGGCCAACAAAGTGGAGCGCAAGGTACAGTTTTAAAGAAATCTTGTGAATTTAACTTTTAAATGACTGAATAGGTTCAACATAAGCGGTTTCTGTTTGAGACAACTTATTTTTGTCTCGGACAGCTACATCTGGCCTTAAGGTTTTCTGGTGGACAACCTTGTGAAATAGACATTAAAGTTTTCCCTTGCCGTGACAGATTTGTCATTTGAACCTGAACTAATGCACCGTTACCCCCGCACCAGGCCTCCGACCTCATCAGGACTTTATCTAAAGTCTGTGTATTAAGAGTTAGTGTGTTCGGAGCACGGTCATCATTGTGCAGACGTGCGACCAAATTCCAGGTCCAAGAGAGATGAAACATCTGCACATACAGCCAATGTGTGTCTCATGGTGAGGGAGGAAATGGCATCTGCTGCTTTAGTTGAAAGTTTTATTTTTGTAGATTTTCCATAAAAATCTGCACAATTCAATTCTACACCATGGCTGTTTGGATGAGCTAAACTTGTTTTATATTTAGAATCATACTGAGAGGTAACTACTAGGATAAATGTAATTTAATAAATGATCATATATGAAAAATACATATTAAATGACTACATGAGCTGAAATCCTGCAAATATAATCTCTTTTGAATGAGATAATCATTTTAGGGGAGAAATCTGTCAGTCTGGCAAATATTTTGAAAAAGTAATATTTTTAAATTAATTTATACTTCGTAAAGGACTTCTTGTGCTATAATTTTCTAAAACCTATCTGACAATCTCAATTGAAAACACTGAAATGACATCAAAGTAAACTACAGAAAAGTTGTTCAAAGCCCCTCTCTTCCTTCAGAGTCCATCAGTCTTGAGAATCTGTATGGTGCATGTTGGAAGTTTTCTTACAACTTGATGCTTCATTGGAGAGCATTATACTGTGTACTTACACGTGCACAATACTCCTCTACATGTGAAAACCTTTGAAAAATGACCTGTATGCAGAAAAAAGCTCTAGAATGTGGTATTGGGCGTGGGCAGCGTTGCTTGATTTCAGTCAAAATATTTTTTCTGCTTTAATTCCTCCCTTAACTACGCTGCGAGTGCCTTTCTTGAAGAGGATGAGTGAGAACATTTCACTCAAGCAGCTCCTTAAAGAGTTTGCCACTTGGATATTCCAAGCAGTCCACAAGATGGCTGACTGAGAACATTTATATATAGTAGACTTTGTATAACTTTGTGTAGTGGAATATACTTATTAAATTACATTTTTCTTTAGATTTTTTTTTTTTTTTTGCCACTAGTATTGTTGAGGTTGCAGACAACCGGGGGGGGGGGGGGTAGAAATTTTTCTTGTCTACCCTGCTGAATAATAAAAAAATTTTTTCGAACATTATATAATGTATTTAAGATAATTATGTCATTATTCTGACAGATGCTTATAGCCAATCTCAGCAACAAAGCTATGGCAGTTATGGACAAGAAACATCTGGGTAAGTTTCATCACACTGTTTTGTTTCTCAGGTTTAAAGCAAATTAAAACATTGATTACATAAGCTAGCAGTAAAAATAAAGTGTAAAAAGAAACTGCTAAAACATGAGAACAAATATAAAACACTTTGAGCTTGGTTACATTATTGCCTTCACTTTATGCCCAGTGTGTTTGATTTGTTATTGACTTATCTTAATAAATCTAACCAAGGTATGGCGACAAACCTTCCTATGGTCAACAAGGATCTGGTTCTGCTTATGGGGGCCAGAACCCAGGAGGAGACACCTATGGGCAGCAAGGCTCCTATTCTGGACAGAGTGGAGGTGGCTATGCTGGTGGCCAGGCCCAAACAGGTGGCTCTTATGCACAGCAAGGGTCCTACGGTGGCGGACAGAGCAGCGGTGGATATGGAGCTGGACAGGGGCAAAGTGGCAGCAGTGGAGGTGGAGGTGGAGGCAGTGGCAGCAGTGGCTATGGAAGATGGAGTGAAGGTACCTGTTGAAAAATCTGTACAGATGTTACATTTGTGTATCACAGAATGGCGTAACGTTGGTGTAAAAAAATGTTCATTAAGTCTATATCTTAATGAGTAACTTTCTGTGAACAGGTGAAGGTGGTGGTCAGGGTGGACGGTTTGGGCGTGACAATGGAGACCGTTCAGAAGGAGGGGGCTTCAGAGGCCGTGGCCGTGGGGGCAGCGGTGGCGGCGGCGGCTATGATCGTGGCGGTTATGACCGCAGCAGTGGATATGACCGTGGTGGTTTTGACCGTGGTGGCAGAGGAGGACCTCCTGGTATGGGGTAAGTTGCACAGTGCCACTGCCCCTAAGGTACAATTGTATATTCAAACATGCAAAGTAAATCATTATTGTTAATTATTAATTAAACGCGTTTGAGTTCTAAATACGAAGACTCTTTATAAATGGATTTTCACTGTTCATCAGATTTATGCTTCAGATCACCAGACTGGTAACACACACATCACTTCTTAAAGCTAAACAATCAAAGGTTCTTTCTGCTCAGCAAGGTACTATTTTCCTAACGGATGTCTCCACTGTGACAAGTTTTATTTATTTATTTTTAATGGAAGTTTTTCCATTGAAAAGGTTAGCCCATGTTGCTCTTCACATACACTGATTTCTCATTATAGTGGTGTGATGGCTTGTCTGACCCAATGAGAATCATGATGAAAGCCTTAAACTGAAGGAGACACTGGTCACTTGGAGTGTTCTTCAAAGCACCAGAGACCTGTATTTGCAGCTGTAATATCCCAAATATCTTTGTTTTGTATGAAACAAGTAGCGTTAGCACATACAGACTTGAGGGAACGTTTTTGTGGGGGACTCATTTTTCCACTGCACGGTAGGGCTCAACTTCTTCTACTTTACATCTCAGTCATCTACTCAAGATAGACTGGATGAAGTGTTTGAGTCACGTGTAGCTGCACAGACAGGACATAAAACTTCTGTGTTTGAACAGGTTAGTCATTGCACTCAAACTTGTATATTAAAGGAGGGGTCAACGTAACAGAAACATGATAGGGTAAGGTGGAGGCAGGTGGTCTGCTATGGTGACCCCCGAGGGGGCGGTTTCAACAAGTCATTGCACTAAAATCATCTTCAGAGGTAAAAGACAGCACACACAAATTTGTTAATGACTTTTAAACTTGGTAAATCCAAGCTGTACAACATAAACTGTGATCCACCAGAACTCAAAAGTTTTTGTATTCACAAATAAAACTCAACCTTACTGATCAAAAGGTAGTTTTCAAATGTTTATCGTTAATACTCATCAAGCCAGGCAATTGTCTGAGGTAGGAAGAGATGGATGGTACATAGTCTACATGACTAGGACTGGGCCAAAAACTGGTATTGCTGTGTCCCGCAAGGATCAAAAAATGGCAACAATATCACTAAATACTGTCAATAAAAGGATTGAAAAGTTGATTCAAATACATTTGAATGTAGACAGCACTTCCTGTATGACAAGGGTGTCCCATGCTGGTCCTTGAGGGCCACCGTCCTGTATGTTTTAGAAGTCTCTTCACTTCAACACACCTGATTTGAATCAGTGGTTGAATAACGGGCTTCTGCAGAAAATGAAGTACCGGTAATTCATCCAATAGAATCGGGTGCGTTGGAGCAAGGAAACAAGTAAAACATGCAGGATAGTGGATCTCGAGGACCAGGACTGGACACCACTGCTGTATGATGATGGTGTTTCTGCTGTGTAGCAATATTTTCCACAATACTGACACAGACTTGAATACAAAACTGCAGTAAGTGTAGCCCCTCTCAAGCACTGGTATCAACAACCCAGCCACATAGGTTTCACAATCCCCTCGTCCCCTGAACAATGCTCTGGTTCATTTTAAAGTTTGATGAGATTAAAGGCGTGCCTCCAATGACTGAATTCAAAGCTAGACTTATCAGAACAGGAACCTGTCGCTACATTTATTATCATTCACTGCACAGTTTCACAAAGATTTTTTAGCCCTCTGCGATCAGTGAAGGGAAGAAGATGGTAGAGCATTAAGATGAAAGGTGTAACATCAAGAGTTGTTTGATTTTGTTAAAGTGACAACATAATCAAGCAAGCAGTAGACCTGACTGGTTATATAGAAAGTCCATAAAGATGGTGATTAACCTAAATTCACATCCTCAGATCTGTAAAACTCTTTTTGTTGATTCTGTAACTGAACACTTGCATGATGCATTAGCTTAAACGTGTTCTCGGTGTCCTAAACCAAATATATTCAAATTAGAATAGTAACAGTAAGTTCTGGGTAGATAGTAATGCTATTTACTATGGTATAAAGTAAAAGTATCAGTTAATTACAGCCCAGCCCCATTACTAAGGAGTAGAAATACATGCATATCTATGTTTCTGGAGCTTGACTTTAGTGTAAAGACTCAAATGTGTGAAAACTTTTAAAAAAAAATTTTTTTTAAGAGGACAGGATTATTTAGAATATGCTTTTATATTTCTACCAATTCTCCAGACAAGCATAGTACTTTTTAGCCACTTAAGTAATTTCAGATGCATTCAGGTGTTGTGTATTTGACAATGGTGAGCTTGTTTATTGTGTTAACATGGATCTACATTTTATACTACAGGTGTTCAGAGTGAATGAACTAAAACTTGGACTTCGGTCAAAGGATCTTAGATGCAATCGGTGGAAGATTGCTCATTGCTTGCTGCTGCTTTTACCTAATTTGGCTCAATTGATATCCAATTCAGCTGTTCTCAGCATTTTGAATCAAATCTGGCCATCTCAAAAGAAAAGTACCAAAGTCTTTGTAAACAGCAACTCACTGACGTGATTGTCTTCACTCATCTGCCTGAATGTTCAGTCAGAACTTCCAAGTCGTCTGTTTATTGATCTGTACTGCCAAAGACTAACTCATTCCTCGTGTGAGACATTTCCACCTTAGTCGCACACCCTGGCAGGAATGCATACTGGTGTGGATGTAGGGGAGCTTTGAGCTCTCAGTTGGAACAAAGGAAAGCCATCATATCTCCAATTTTTCCTCTGCAGAGGTGGTGACCGTGGTGGCTACAAAAATTTTGGTGGTAAGTGACGAGCATCAGAACTGTGTCGGTTGGGGAGGAGGAAAAAAAAACTTGAATTAAACAGAACAGAGGGTTAAAATGGGGGTTTAAATAAATAAATTAAAAAAATCAGTGAATGCCACCATTTCCATGTCCAGAATCTCAAGGAACTCCACCTAATGCTACTTCTCATAAATGTCATCAGATATGGTAAATAACATGGAGTTGAGTTGTAAAATAATGGTATTACTGCATGAAGGAAGGATGGTTGTAAATGACAAAGGTGTTCCAGGACGAAGAAGGGACAACTCTTAAGTCAACTTGGTGGTTTTTATTTCCGGTATAAGCTCAACGGAAAAAATGAGCAATTCTGACCATGTTGCAAGGTAATGGTATGTGATGCAACGGTACAAGAACTCACAACATAAAGCTATAAACATAAGGTTTATTGGATTTACTGTTAAAGATTGATAGGGCTGCAGTTGATTTTTGTGTGAATCTGTCCAGAGCTCTGAGAATATTGTTTACATTTTGTTTTCTATCCTCTTCTGTTACTTAGGCTCTCAAGATTATGGCTCAAGGGATGACTCAGGTAGGCCAGGTTCCGTTGATTTAATGAGGATTTTTGTTTAGTCAACTCTGATTTTTGTATTTGATCATTGCTGACCGCCCTTTCTCATTCACAGGTGGAGAGCAAGACAACTCTGACAACAACACCATTTTTGTTCAGGGACTCGGAGAAGATGCCACCGTTCAGGAAGTCGGAGACTACTTCAAGCAAATTGGTATCATTAAGGTACTGGATTGGTTTAATTGACCTACTTGAGCTCATCCCTCATTTGAGCAAGTAAGTAGGGCCACATAACACAAGACTAAGGTTGTGTCGATGTGTTAATTCTTTTTAGGTCAATAAGAAGACTGGTCAGCTAATGATCAATATTTACTCTGACAAGGCCACCGGTCGGCCAAAAGGAGAAGCAACCGTGTCATTTGATGACCCTCCTTCAGCCAAGGCTGCTATCGATTGGTTTGATGGTAAGGGCGCTAGCTTTTCTTTGACTTTTAATTTATTTTTTTCATGTTTTTAACCCCCTCACCCTTTTTTATTTTTTAGGAAAAGAATTCAATGGGAAGCCCATCAAGGTCTCGTTTGCCACCCGCAGAGCTGAGTTCACACAGAGAGGAGGCTTCAGAGGTGGACGAGGAGGTGGGCTGTCCTTTTGCCAAACTAATGGAGGAGGATATGAAGTGCTGGTATTTCTATTTTTTTATTGCTATTTTTAATCTTTTTGGATGTGTTCAGGTTTCAGAGGCCGAGGTGGTGGTGGTGGCGGTGGTGGTGGCGGTGGTGGAGGTGGAGGACCCAACTTTGATGTAAAGGGGGGAGACTGGCCTTGCCCCAACAGGTTAGTGTTTATTGATCCAGGTTGTTTTCAGACTTGCTGGTGAAGCTTCTCAGACATCCAGGTCATGGTTTAAATGTTCCTCAAATTCCCCCCCCCCCCCCCCAGTTCTTGTGGCAACATGAATTTTGCACGGCGGCAGGAGTGCAACAAGTGTGGTGCGCCTAAACCAGGAGATGCCGGATTTGGAGGTGGAGGTGTGTACTTTTATTTATTTCTTGGTATTTCTTTTGTTTTTTGAGAGATGACGCTCTGATAAGATTTATTGTACAAACTTTGCCCTCATTTTTTGACCAATGTTTGCAGACCGTGGAGGCAGGGGTGGATTCGGCGGTGATCGAGGTGGTGGCTTCAGAGGCCGTGGAGGTTTCCGGGGTGGAGATCGTGGTGGCTATGGAGGAGGCGGCAGCGGTGGTGGTGGTGGTGGTGGTGGTGGTGGAGGATTTGGCGGTGGCTACAAAATGGGCGGAAGGTTGGTTAAAGTTTCTTAGCATTTTGCATGCACAAGACAACATCTCTTCTAAAATTGTGTAGCATGACCAGAAGGGGGCATCACCAGCCTGAGAAAGATCTGAGCTGTCCAGCCATTAAAAGTATTCTCAACATGTTTGGTAAACACAGCATCCATCACCTTTAAAAAAAAGAAAAGGGGGGGGGGGGGCTCTAGAACAAAGTTTCATAATTATTAGGAACATATTTCTAGTTTTTGTTGTCAATGATGTCATTCATTCAACCTTTATTTATACAGGTTAGTCTCAATGAGTCATGAGGACTCATTTTTAAGAGACCTGTTTTAGACAGACAATCAAATGCAATACAGGACAGACATGTTCTAAGCTGCGCAGCGCGCTGTTTAAACCAACAGTTTTGGAGGGGGGTGGGGGG